CATTATTAGTGAGTTTTGATGACTTGTGGTGTAATCTTACTGGACTGTTTTATTATTATTTATCCTGACTCATTTTTTCCCATTAATTTGCTTTACTTAAAGGAATAATAGATCAGATTGTTTAAAGTGGGGTTCTGTGGAAAGGTTACGAACAAAAATATCTTACCTGCTACAGATGACTCAGTTTGAAGTAAAAGAAAATAAATTGGACCAGATTGACAAATAGTCTGAGCAAAACCAAAGTGGATTTCTGCCATTTAAGGGATATTCTGGTTATTTTTGAAGTTACTTTATGTTCTAATAGTTTTTAGTGTCATAGCTGCGTCATGGAGTTTGACAACAATAAGGCGGAAGTCTTCGTCCAGGCTAAGTAGTATACTTGAAGTTCATTTTAATAAGTATGCTTGAGTATAAGTTTAAGTATACCAAGTATACGCACTGTGTACTTGTAGTGTACTAGAAAATAAACTGGTTTAGTACTACTTTGGACCAAATTGGGACTTTTTTGTTTATAAAAAGTATACTTTAAGTACACTGTTATAAAAAATATAATTATGCTGAATATACTTATGGTTCACATTTTAGCTTGTGGAATGATATTTAAAATATACCACAAGTATACTTTTTCTATACTGCCATTGCACTAGTTATATACTTCTAGTTCTCATTTCAGTTTAAGTATACTTTAGTAAATTCATAAAAGTGTACTTAAACATAAAATACTATTTATGCCATTTGTTTTTAGAATATACCTGTAAGTTCCCTTACTTGTAAAACACTAACGTCCTGAAAAATACTTCCTGAAGTATTAAACATAACTCATACTGTGTGTACACTATACTGTAATGTGTTCATAAACTCACAAGAAAGAATCTTGAGGAAAAACAGTGATATATTTATATAACATTTTAAAAATTACAAGTTTAAGCTTTAATAGTAATGTACTTGGTCTTAAACAGCTCTTTATACTTTTCAGTATAAGGCAAAATATACTTTAATTTTTATAAACTATATTTGAAAAACTTTAAAAATAGTAAAGTGAACTTCAAGTRCACTGCCTCATTTTTAGTGTAAAACTCGTAGCACACTTGAACTACTTTTTGCCAAGGGTAGGTTAACTGCTAATCAAACAAGTTCCAATTACCAGATTATCTCCACTTTTGTCCTGTCCTCACTCAGTCTACCCACTTCCAAAGATCTGAACCAGTATGTGTAGCTTGACTTTAAAAAGAAATGAGGTCAGGAATATTACATCCCTTCTTTAATCATGCTGCTGAACATCAGACGTGAGCTGATGGTTTCCTGTTTCTTGTTGTGAGTCATCTGATCACCTCAGGCCTTCGTCAAATTCCCACACTACATACTGCTTCTCGCTTTGTAGAAAATCTCAGTTTCACTCTCAGATTTATTGTTTTTCATGTGTTTGCTCTCTGGGAATGTCGAGCCATAAAAAAAATCTTGACACAGTTTTTCGACTTCCATTTATCTGGCTGAAGGAAGCTGCAGCTATGAATATTGCATAAATGTGCATCATCCTGTAAAAGCTCTTGTTGTTTTGGCTKGAGCTGAGTGGAGAGACATGAAACTTAGAGCTCGACTAAAATACATTCTTTTTGCCTCGAAGCTCAGCGATTGTGATGATTTTTGTTTATAGTTGATTTATAGTGAATTCAAACTAGTTCAGCAAAGCAGATCAAAATTTCAGCTCATTCAGGCCTTCATACACTGTAAAAAATGAAATGTTGGATTTACTTAACCATGTTATGTGACCTGGTTCCATTTAACTGAGTTGAGTAAATTCAAAGCAACATACAAGTTTTTTAACCAAAGAACATGAGTATGTTGCTATGAGTACATAACATGGTTAAGTAAATCCAACATTTCATTTTTAGAGTGTATATGACTTGTAGGCTTTACTAGTTATATATATTTATATGTATATGTATATATAATTCTGTTTGTGTTTATATTTTTGCATTTTTTTCCTTTTTTATACATCTTTGTCCCATCGTGTCCTTATGTGTCCGTTTATTCGAGATATTTGCTTATTTGTACTTTTTGCATCACTTTTGTCTCATTATGTTTCATCTTTATCTTTTCAGGCTCCTTGTGTCCTTAATGTTTATTTCATGTGTGTTCATTTGGTCTTTTTGCATTCTCTTCTTGTGCCTCTTTTTTAATTTTCTCATTGTATAAGTTTGTTTTTTTGGTTCTTGTATTTGTTTCGACATCATTCTGCACCTGCAKCAGTCAAACAAGAAAACTGCAGCTTTTCAGAAATGCTGATTTTATATTGAGTAGTTGGTTTTTTTTTACATTTGAATTCAGACTAAATGTTTGCAAGTTGCTGATGACCAAAGTGATCATGTGGACAAACACACAGGAATCTCTGTGCATTTTTGCACGGTTGTTGCAACCAGGGGCTTTTCTACAGGGACCGACTGCATTCACAAGCAGCACACACACACACAGACACACAGACACACACACACAGACACACAGAGATACGTACGCACGCACGCTCTCTCTCTCTCTCTCACACACACACCCCTCAGCACCGGTGATGCATCCCCGCGGCAAGGGCACGGCCAAGTCCTCCTCAGAACCGCCTCCACGTTAGAATGGTGCAGAAATCTCTGAACGGCGGGGTTTACCCAACTCAAGCCGGGGAGAAGAAGCCCAAAGTCGGGTTCGTCGGCTTGGACCCGGGCGCTCCCGAATCCACCAGGGACGGGGCGCTGCTCATCGCCGGCTCGGAGRGCTCCAAGCGCGGCAGCATCCTCAGCAGACCCAGGTCCAGCATCTCCTGCGGGAGACCCAGACCGTCGAAGAAAAGCGCCAGCTACCGGAAACTCCAGAATTTCCTCTACAACGCGCTGGAGAGACCGCGGGGCTGGGCGTTCATCTACCACGCTTATGTGTGAGTAACTCCCGGCTCCTGGCTCCAGCTTTACGGCCTTTGATTTCCTCCAGCTGCTGTGTCATGCTTTACAGGGACCCGCTGAGGAGACCGTGTGAGTCTGGGTCTGCGCGCGCGYGTGTGTGTAAAACTCTGCTGTCATTTTCCCTTTAGCACAAAGACGTGCCTTTTAAAGTGGATTTCATGTTGTTCTTGGCACGTGCTGCTCGCTGGTGGTTTCAGCACCAGGATGTGTGGACAGCTCCGCCTCACTACTTCCACTAATTAGTCCAACAGTCCGGCTCTCCGCACACTGATGACTGCACATTTCTGCAGCTAAAACCTGCATGTGCAACCACAGACCTGATCCAGAACCACAGAGCAGCCCGTAGAGGATTCTGGGTCCTGGAAAGTCCCGACCCAACAAACAGCAGAAACTGGAGAAAAAAAGATATTCAGTAAAAAATACTGAAGTGCTGAAATTAACTGAACTGTTAAATCAGCAGAACAGCAGCTAAAAGCTAAAATTATATAACTTATATACATTAAAGCTAAACTGAGAAAGAATCCCTCTTTTGTAGCTACATGTAGTGCAGGGATGTCCAAAGTGTGGCCCGGGGGCCATTTGTGGCCCCTGACTTCAGTTCAAGAATACTAATTTGTTTGAAAATTAGTCCTCCCGGCACAGGCGTTTGATGTAAATGGAGACTTTTTATTTATTAATAGGGCAAATTTATCACAAAGTAAAATCTTATAATAAAAATACTGGCAAAAAAAACAATTTTTTTGTCTTTAAATAACCAGACTCTTGGCTTTTTCCACATCTATTTAGTGACTTCTACTCAGAAGCTGATTTTGCTGCACTCCAATCTGCTTTTAATTCTTTTATTAAATTTATCTGAACACAGCAAGCATTTTCAACAAAACAGTGACCTAAATCCTGATTTTTATTGATCAGAATTGACTAAATTAGGTTATTTCCCCCCCAAATGAAACCTAGAAAATTGCAAAATTTCTTTAAATAAGGGAAACCTGTGAAACAATTTTAAAGTTCTGGATCTAGATTAGTTCACACACCCATTTCAAGCAATAAATCTGACTACTTTATTTGTTTAATTAAAGTATTCAGTGTTTAGTTAATTGTTGAGCAGGTGAAGGAAAAATATTTTTGACCCTCAAGTCCTTCTGACTTTATGATTTTGGCCCATGAGACAAAATGTTTGGACACCCCTGATAGTGAAACTGTAGCTAAAAAAGCTAAACTAGAAAAGGCAGTGAAAAGCTAAATGTAGGGCAACAGTTGCTAAAACAGACATGTAGCAACAAGCTAAAATAGATAAACTGTAAATATTTGCTTAGATAGTAGCTAAAAGCTACATGCAGGGGAACAGTTGCAAAAAGACGAGGCAAAAATTATATCTAAACAATATTAAAAAYAAAGTAGGGCTACATGTAGCAAAACTGTAACTAAATGTTAAAATGCTACGGTATCAGTAGATGCTTAGAAAAACAGTAGCTAAAAGCTAAATGGATCAGGACAGTTGCTAAAAGATGCATGTRTCAAATGTGTAGCTAAAAGCTAAATCAACTGTAACTTAAAGCTAAAATAAACATTTGTTAGAAGAGACATGGCAGATTAATTGAAAATGTAGTTACAAGTTAAAAAAAGCTAAACTATAAATAATTGTTTAGGAAAAACAGTAGCTAAAAGCTGGGAATTTGATTGTGCAGAAAGATACACGTAGCAAATCTGTTGAAAATAGCTAAAATAACTAATTGTTTAGAGAAACTGTACCTAAAAGCTAAATGCAGGGGGGTTATTGCAAAGGCAAATGGTAAATCTGTATCAAAGCTAGAATTATACAAAATATAAAATTAAAGGTAAAGTAGCTAAAGGCTACATGTAGCAAAAGTGTAGCTAATGTTATTGCTTAGAAAAAAACAGTAGCTAACAGCTAACTGTATCAGGACAGTTGCCAAAAGATACATGTAGCAAATTTGTAGCTTAAAGCTAAACATAACTTAAAACTAAAATAAAACAGTTTCAAGAAGAGACATGGCAGATTAATGGAAACTATAGCTACAAGCTAAAAAAAAAAGGCCAAACTAAAAATTATTGCTTAGAAAAACAGTAGCTAAAAGCTGAATGTGCTAAAAAATATATATGTAGCAAATTTGTAGTTAAAAGCTAAAAATATATAAATGGTAACTTAAAATAAGAAAAAACACAGGCGGTGACTGTTGCTAAAAAAAGATGTGTAGCTAAACTTCAGCTAAAAATTGAAAATGGCTAATTGTAAACAATTACTACATGAGGGGCAAAAAAGTGAATATATCACCCGCCAACTTTAATACTCAGAGTTAAACTCAGACCTTAAATTTAACTTATTAAACAATCGCTCAAAATACATGTTGTGAATGACTCTCAGCTACTGCCACATCACATTTTAGCTCACTGAAAACTGAATACGTTCAAACTGTAGACCATTTTGCAGAATGCTCAGTCCACAGATTTAAGGGTCGTTCTCTGTTTGAAAATGAATTAGTTCCAAAGTGCCCTTCAGTGACGCCTGACTCCTTCCACTTCAGTGCTGCTGCATGTTTGTTAGTGAGGAGGAGGAGGAGGAGGAGGAGGAAGAGGAGGAGGAGGAGCGGCCGCAGCATTAAGGAGTTCACTGTGAGCAGCACACTGACTCCCCTGGGATCATCCTCTGAAGTCAGCCTGTGTTTTAAAACACTCTTATTCTGAAGTAATAACTGAACTCTACAGCAGCAAACACAAGCTAATTTCCTCTTTTTTTTGACTCTTCGACAGATTAGCCAGTGGATTTCTGATTTAGGCTTGGTTCTGTCTCTTGTCTGGCATCAAAATTTAAAACTTAAGCTTTTTAAATGGGACACGGACAGCTAAACCTGCCATTTCTGCACAGAAAACAGATGATAAAAAAAAGAAAGCAGACTCCAACTCCAACTGCTCATCAATCAGTGGAACAAAGTTCTGTTAAGTGATCCTGGGAGGCAGATTGAGTTCATGATCCAGTTATACATTATTTTGCTGAGCTGGACTGTTTAAACAAAAAAAAGAGAAAAGTGTTGGGTAAGAAATGAGGCGAGGACAACGTAGCAGACAGATGCTGGCTGACAGGCTGCAGAGATGTGACTKAGTGCCTCGTTTCAGTGGAAGAACAACCTGCTGAGTCCTGCCGAGTTGGGGAGGAAATTTGTCCCACTCTTCTAAATTTTAAGAAAAATTAAAAAAAAAACACGTTTTAGATAACGATCGTCTTGTGTTGAGAAGGAATTAATGATTGCGGTTTAAAGACTCCTGTAGTTTTTCAGATAACTGTGCGTAATTCTGAAATGCAGGTACACATTCAATGTAAACAAAGCACTGCTATCTGTATATTTCACTTAGCAAGTGTAAACTTGCAAACAGTGCAACATAAAAATGAAATGTTTCCATTTCAAACACCTCGTCCATCGAGCTATTTGGTCGTTGTGGTGGATCTAATACTTTTATGTTTAAGCAAGTAATTCATGACATCCTTTAATGACCTAGGTTTTCATGACAT